TTTCTAATCAATTTATTTAATATATTCCAAGTACCTTTCATGTTATTTTTATTATCTTCTAATACTTTAGAGTAATATAGTTTCTTGCATCTCCTCAAAATCTCAGTTAATTTGTTCTTATATGACTTATATTTTTCTTCCGCCTTCTTTAATCTGTCCTTTATGAATTCCTTATATAACGCATTCTTCTTATTACATGTAAAATCAAAGCAGCTAGTAAATTATGTATTTTATAGATAAGACTAACCAACTGTCTCTAAGCGGTCAAGATTTGCCAGTAGTAAAATAGTTAATTAATTGTTCTTGTGTTGGAAATTTTGTCTTGTAAGACCAACACTGAAACATTGCTTACAATTTCTGATAATGCTTAAGTATTTGTACTCTAAGCTACTTACATGACATTACTTGTAATGGGGTATTACCACACTGGGATATTTTTACTTTTAATAAATGATCAAAGTTCTTCTCCTGTTACTGAGAAAACAAAACACTTTGAACTCTATAGATGTAAAATAGCATGCCTTTTCTTGTTGCCCTTTGTGAACACAACAGTCTATATTTCATTTATTGTCAGTGAAGTGGCTCCATTCTACACTTCTTGTTTAAAAGATGCAGGAATGACTGCATCATTTTCCTTAAAATTGGTGGCAAGTAGGACCCAGAGAGGACTAGGCTTCAGATGGGGACAGTGGCGTGTGTGTCTATGTGAAAGAAGAGGAAGGGGAAAAAACACACACCATCATACACAATACTGGCAGTGACAGTCAGTGCCATACACAGCACAGGACAAGAATGAGAGTGTTACTGGAGGAGGGATGAGGAGAGATAGGAAACATCATCTCCCATCTAAATCGTATGGAATTAATGATCAGCACTTTTTAAACTGGAGATATTTGTGTGTGACAAGTCTGGATTTCTGGAGCCGCTCTACAGAAGATCCAGATCTCAGACACAACTGAAACTGGAAACATGGGTTTTTAACTGAAACACTGACTATGTTACCGTTTTGAGCAGGGGGGGGGGATTAAACCTGGGCTTCTGGTTTGGGTCCATATCCTGTACGTGGGATTTCAGTAGAAGCTTTTTTTAAGTCGGACACCAGGCGAACCCGTTTTGTCTGAACTGTACCACACATGGAGAGTGGATCATGGGTAAGTGATTTGATGCATAATCAGCACTGTTGACCTTTTAATGCTGAATGTGTCTTTTATTTTTGGTCATGAAAATTTACAGGATTTTACTTGTGTCAGTTACTTTTCACCATTTAATGAAATATAATGTTTTTGTTGTGTTTACTAACTGTTCACCGTTTCATACTATACAATTGTCAGTTATTGATATTTTCCAAAACAATATCTTCATCCTTTAGTCAAAATAGACTTTTTGTTCATGTATTCCCTGAAGCACACAGGGTCAATGCATATTGTGTTACTAATCCTGGAGACTGCCTAAATATTCTGTTCAAAACTACTAAAGAAAAAACTGACTTTCAAATTTTAATGGATTTACCATATTATATAATTCATTTTTTCTTATTTGTGCAAAAAGATCTCACACTCTTGAATATTTACTTTCTTTTACTCAAAAAAAAAGCTGCGTTTTGGTGGTAAAGTACATTCACCAGCCATTTTATTAAGTACACCTGTACAATTGTATACATTTCAACGCAACACGTCTGCCTTAACATCTGTGTTTATGAAGCTCAAAATGTTTGTAAATGTATAAATTCAATTATATATGTATTATAGAGGTCACATTTAAAGGTGGTGTACTGGACTACATTATATTCAGAGGTGTCTCTATATTTTTGTCCTCTCCAGCCACATACATGAAAGGGTCAGAATATTAGGAACACCTCTGAATGTAATGTAGTCCAGTACAACACCACCTTTAACTATGACCTCACTGATGAACATATAATTGAATTGATGCATTTATTATTTATATATTTATTTTTTCTTGACTCAAGTATTACAACACTGATACACTTAACGCTTAAATTGTTGACCAAACTGACACACTTTAATGCATCATCATTTCAGCTAGAAATCAGCACAAAGCATAAATTTAGTTGCAATGTATTTCCTCATCAATCAATTTGATTAAATATATTAAAACTATTCAAGCAGATTTTTTTTATGTGGGTGGGGGTAATAGCATATATACAAGGAAAAAGGATAGCTTTATATAATGTATAAACTCTTACCTAAAATGTCTGGACTGTATTAACATGGTTTGTTTTCTTCCATTTACAAAACTGTTTCTGTCATTTCATCAGGGGACATCCAGACATGAAGACATCTGAGATACAAATGGAGGAAGTTGTGAATGAATAATGGCTGCCAAGACTGGTCTGATGATAGCCTCTGTGCCAAATCTTACAACCACCTTAGGGGAGCCCAATCTCACAGTTCCTGCTGGAGTGGGCATCGTCACAAGCTCTCAGTCTCAGATCAAAGACCTTTTTGGGTTGTTCTGCATGGTGACCCTTAACCTCATTGCTTTGTTGGCCAACGCTGGTGTGATGGTGGCCATTGCCCGTGCACCTCACGTGAAGAGGTTTGCTTTTGTGTGTCACCTTTGTGCGGTGGATCTGCTGTGTGCCATTCTTCTCATGCCTCTGGGTATCATATCCAGTTCACCGTTCTTTGGCACCGTGGTGTTTACGGTTCTGGAGTGTCAGGTTTACATCTTCCTCAATGTTTTCCTCATTTGTCTGTCCATTCTCACCATCACAGCCATCAGCGTGGAGCGTTACTTCTATATAGTGCACCCGATGCGTTATGAAGTCAAGATGACCATAAACCTCGCTGTTGGTGTGATGCTCCTAATCTGGTTTAAGTCAGTCCTCTTGGCTTTGGTCACTCTGTTTGGGTGGCCAGCTTATGGACATCAGAGCTCTATTGCTGCATCTCACTGCTCTCTCCACGCAAGCCACAGTCGTCTGAGAAAAGAATTTGCTGTGCTCTTCACTGTGGTTTGTTTTCTTGTTCCTGCAGTGGTTATTTTTGTTGTTTACTGTGCCGTGTACAAGGTAGCCCGTTCTGCAGCCCTGCAGCAAGTCCCTGCCATGCCACCATGGGCAAATACAAGCCCTGCCAAGGATCGGTCTGACTCCATCAACAGCCAAAGCACCATGATCACCACCACCCACACTCTGCCCCAAAGACTATCTCCAGAAAGGGCCTTCAGTGGCGGCAAGGCTGCACTTACTTTGATATTCATTGTGGGCCAGTTCTTGGTTTGCTGGTTGCCTTACTTCATCTTCCACCTGCAGATGTCTCTGACTGGCTCAATGCAGAGCCCCGGGGACTTAGAAGAAGCAGTCACCTGGCTTGCTTACTCCTCCTTTGCAGTTAATCCATTCTTCTATGGCCTGTTGAACAGACAGATCAGAGAGGAGCTGGTGAAGTTTCGACGGTGCTGCTTGACCCAGCCTGTGGAGTTTGGGGCATCCAGTCATGAGGGCTCCCTTCAGGAGAACTTCCTCCAGTTCATCCAGAGAACCAACAGTCCAGCTGACACTCGCTCCAGCTGTGCCAACTCCAGTCTGAGAAGCACTACAGAGGGTATAAAGATACCCGGACAAGTACCTGAGGAACACACTTAGACACTGACCGACATGAGCTATGGACTACAGTGCAATACTGTGTATAGGTCCTGTCTGTTTTATCTTTGTGGGCCATTTTTCTTTAGTGGATAGGTTCACATTTCAAGCCTAAAACACCACTGACACATACATGTCAGAAAATGTGAAAATACTGTCTTGGCTATATTGTAACATGAAAAGGTGATAGATATTGCACTTGGTGTATTTTTCATTTATAATTGACCAGATTCTAATGATGTTTGTAGAAATGTTTTATAAATGTGTATTTCTAGAGGATATCTACAGTAACAAGCTCCTGATTTGATGGAAATGTAGATATTTTAATATATTAGGAACAAAAATCAATAGATAATTTTTTTGTCAATAGCAAAATACTGTGCGCAAGTGTCATATTGGTGACTAATTTGTGTTGAACTTTGTACAGTATTGGATGTCAGTGTTGCTGAGCAGGGGTCCTTTACATTTGGGTAGGTGTGTCACATTTTCACTACACCATTACTGTGGCCAAAACAATTCACAATAACAATATTATCATAATAGCTACACAAAAATTGAAAAAACCAAATAATTCTATAAGTCAAATTCATCTTTAACTTTATTCTGCATACTGTCTGCCTGTAGCATGGTGGTCTTCCTCTTCTTCTCCGTTCCCTTTGGGTGGCAACCAGTAATAAGGTGCAATACCACCACCTACGGTACTTAGTTGGAGTGTCATCCAGGTACTTATTATTTACAATGTTATCATATGTGTATTATAAACATGATGTCAAAAATACATTTTTTAAAATATCAGTTATTGTCAATACTGGCATATCGCGACACCCCATATTTAACAGATATGGTGATACATGGTTAGTGTCATCTATCCCTGTTGCCATGGAACCCTGTGATCCTGAGACTCACATAGCAGCAAGGACCCTTTAACTGGCTGTATGCTTCAGCTTCACATCCTGAGTGGAGTCTTCTAACTCCGGCTCATGCCTGTTTTTACATTCAGACTGATCACACAAAGCCTGTAAGTTAAGATTGAGTCTCATGAACATGTGAATAGAGGCTGAGGTTGAGGTAGCACAATTTTCTGGGAATATGGACTGCTATAATAGTGACATGGGTACAGTGAGGCAGAATGGAAATCATTACTGGGCATTGATAATGCTCTAAGTCTGGTAACAAAGTGCTATTTTACAACCTCTGCTGTTTGCATTAGTCTTTCACAAACAATGGAAAACACTGAATATTATGGTTACAGCAAATAACAGCAAACACCATTTTCTGTGTGCCATCATTAACTGGGCACGGCCACTCTTACTGTACCTAACTGTGTACTTTGAGTCGAACACTGCATTAGCAGGAGGATATGAGCTCTGCATAGACACACACACATTACAGAAATATGTTGTGACACTTTGCATTCATACAAATGAATGATTGGCATTTTATTTGTTTGTCATTTTAATGGTTGTCCTCTCTTTCTCTCCTCTCATTTATCTCTCTCTTCATAAATATCTAGCTATTAAATCATGAGACTTGTTTTCTACACCAACAGGGAACATTTGATATTAATAATCTGGTATCTCAGAATTCAGGACAGCTTCTGACAGCATAGGGGGAAATATATCTAAATCTTTCCCCATGTGCATACAGTGATATATGAATTTTAAGAACCCTCATTTCCAAATAATGATAAAAACAGGACTGGAACAAAACATCAGCTTGATCAAGATACAGTATTTGTAAAGCTAAACATCAATGAATACAAATTAGGTCCACATTATCATCATCATCATATCTTTTTCATGACTTGCCTCAAGATTGATTCATCACTGATCATAATACCCAGATCTTTTTATTTTCATCCTACTGCAGTTACTGTAACGTCTATTTAAAACAGATCAGAAAGACATAAACACATTGTTCCAGAAACATCTGGAGAGACAGGTGGGACTGTTAGAGCTCAGCATGTCCTCAATCTTAGAGCTGATTAAGTAGAAAATGGCAGCACATACTGTATATTGTGTCATTTTTCAATGGCATCAGTTATTTTCACAGAAACATGTTTGCTTCTTTGCTGACAATTTTGATGTGGCATGTGAAAATGTAATTCCAGATTCTAAAGCCCTGACAGTGGTTTATATATTTCGTGGATCACAGAAGATGATCTTTGGCTGAGTCAAACATTTCTGATAGGTTTGTGTAGAATGTTGCACATATCTTCGTCACATCAGACTACTAGCTATAAAGAACACCGAATCCAAAGTCAAAAATGGTTGAAGGCCTATTCTAGGATAAAAACTAATGAAAGACAACACAGTCAAGACATATGCACGCAGCATATACAGTATGCTTGTTTCTTGTAGTTGGTGAGAAAATAAAAGTCAGGTGGTGAAGTATTTGTTTAAGGATCATTACACAGAAAAGAGCAAAGGAGATTTTTGTAAACACCCAGATAACACCAGTGTTATCTTGTGTTGTCATCTTATTGGTACCTGACATAACCACTGCCCTGTGGCCTACAAACTCAGCACAGGTTCCAGGACATTCGTGTTGGATGTTTTACTGTATCACCCAACCACAAATTTTATCTGGGAATGCACAAAGCATTCAGGGTTTACTAGATACAATAGTCATAGTCTTTGTATTTCTTATGTTATTTGTGAAAGATTTGGAACTTAACAATATGTGTAATCTCATAGCTCACTCCACTGTTACAAATATCAGCTTCACCATGAGTATTATGACTTCAGCACTTAAAAAATCACCATGAAAAGCATACTATTCTTTTATTGCAACATATCAATGCTTACATTTGTCTTCTGTTGGTTTGAGCCTTGTCAGACAGCATTATTTATAAGGGGAGCTTCCGGGTTGCAAGCGAGAGCGGACGTTTTTTCTGCTCCTCTTGTCTGTTCTGGGATTTTCATATCTTTTCATATCTTCTACACCGTCAAATCTTTGAAAAAGTCTACATCTGTTGAAATGCCACCAAGAGGGAAAAAACCCAACAAGTCCGATGTGGCTGAGGATGTCGAAGCTGAAGAAAATTATGACAGAGCGCCGCAGGACCTGCTGGATGAGCAGAAAAGAATGTACACTGCGTTGCTGACTCAGCTTAACGACAGCTTCAAAGGATTTGTGCAAATACTTATGGAGACGAACAACAAGAGATTCGACGAAATGACCAGAGAGATACAGGACATAAAAATGAGTCTGCAGTTTACCCAGCGAGAGGTCGATATGATTAAAGGTACCATGGGTGAACAGTCAACACAAATCAAAGGCACAAGGGATGGCATTTTCGAAACCTGTGAGTACTTAAAAGTCATATCAGACAAAGTGGAATATTTGGAAGCACAATCCAAGCGAAAAAACTTGATCTTTGCGGGAATCCAGGAGACAGCTGGAGAAAGCTGGATGGATGTGGAGGGCAAAGTTAAGGAGATTCTCAAGAACAATCTGCAGATTCAGCATGAAATTGCGATGGAGCGGGCTCACAGAGTCGGGAAACCCACCGATCGTGGTCCAAGGGCGGTGATGGTAAAGTTGATGAATGAGAAAGACAAAACACACATTTTACAACAGGCAAAGAAGCTCAAAGGATCTAACATCTATATAAATGAAGATTACACCGAGGCTGTGAGGAAGAGAAGAAAGGAGTTGATGCCAAAGTTAAGGGAGGCCAGGGAGAAAGGAGACATTGCTTTTCTGAGATATGACCGACTAGTGACCC